CTGAACAGAGCAGAACAGAAACTGGCAGAATGGTGAAAATAGTGAAACCAGAGCAAAGGCGGCAGTGAGACTGAATGGATTTTGAAGTAAACACATCCAACACCACTCTCTCAAGGAATTGGAAAGCAGCTGACTTTGTTTTGACGTGGATATTTGAGAGCTCTTAGAAGGGAAGGTGGATAAGAGATTGACCTTCTCAAAGGTTCCTCCTGTAATCTATGAAAAATATCGGCAAGGTAAGCGATATAATTGTGGGTGCTACGAGGTGGTACTTCTGAAGAACAAAGTACTGACGGTCAGCCAGTCACATCAACAGGGAAGAAATCCATATTCACAGAAAACTAACCAGGTGAGTTTAGAAACCATTTGTTTGAGAAACCACCCGCACTATACACTGTTACACCTAGGAAAATGCTCAATTACAGAACAAAGCAGGCTCCATTATGCAGACAGCCGCAGTAAGAATGTGGTTGGTACACAAGTACAGGAGCAAAGTGCCAGCTACCTTTCTACCTGCAGACAAACCTCAGTATCACAATTATTATACATAAGACCACAGACTACTCCCTGACTTGCAGAGAGATACCTGTCTTGCTACATGCCTTTACTGACAGCCACCACCAAATAAAAAGTAGAACAAAATACAGCTAGCACTGCCAGGGAGCTGTAGTTTAGCACACAGAGGACATACAGGGCAAGAGGAAGCTTCTTTGATCACTGCCACCTTAGATTTTCCATCACTGGAAGACTTGTTCATCTGCTGACAACCCAAATGCTAATGAATTTCAAATTCATTCCAAGTGTTTCCAGAAAAGCAGAGCCAGCGTAGTGGCTACTAATGATTCAGCACACACAGATAGCATCGTAGCAGCAAGGTGAAACAAGCAGTATCACCCATTCTGTTAGGAGAGCCGTACAGAGCACTTGTTCCCTACCAGAGGCATGGCCTGGAACAACCCCTCAGCCCTGCCAGGCAGATGACCTTGTGCTCCAACAAGCAGGAGCCAAATTGCTTGTGGAGGCAGCAGCAACAAGGGTGCAAGGAATGGAGGCTCATCAGTCAAAAGCGAACACTTTGGGATGACAGGAGGGCAGCAGAGGTGATAGCAGTGATTGCCACCTAAAAAAAAAAGAGGTGGGACAACACTAATCGAGAACAAAAAAGCACCAAAAAACCCTCAGGCATGTTAATCTGTATAAAGCTACTGAATGAACAAAATTCAGTAAAACCTAAAAACCACAAGACAGTCTCATTGCAATTCTAAATTTTCATCCCGCCCCTACCAATAGTCCCAAGAAAAATGAGCTGGTAAAACACATTAACAGACAGCTTCAAAAATAATCAAAAAGGAATGAAATCTATGCCTCAAAATCATCACAGACATGATATTTTATAGTACCAACTCAAATCTATGTCTGAACTAACTCTTTGAAGATTACATGTTGACAGGATACAGATACTCTTATTTGAAGAAGCTGGGATCCAAACAGTTGTTTAATAAATGTTGCAAATTAGATGATAATTAAAAGATTAGTCAGAAGGCCCAAAACACCTCTTGGTACAATAGTATACCTACAGCCTGAAAGAAACCAAAGTTGCAAATATAGTCAGTGCTGGAAGATAGTTGTTGATTGGACAAATTTTAGAGGAAAACTAAAAACCAGAGATTACATTCACATTAAATATATCACTTTTACACTTTTTTGGCATACATTTTCTTACTTTCCCATCTTTTCTTCTTTTCCTGCGAAAGCTGCTATTATACTTTCACCATAAAAAAAAAGTAAATCCTCTTTCTGTATTGTCAGAGGTAGTCATAAGGATTTGTACCACTTTACAGTAACAAAAAACAGCATTTGAAATCAAAGGATGTAGAGAAACCAATGTTCCACGTAGGCTTTCAACAGCTTAACACTGAACAAACAAGGCAGCCTCTTTCTTCACTACTCTTCATGAATATTGAAGACTGCAGCTAATCAAATGACAACAGACAACTGCATCAGGCAACAGCATCAAAAAGGCAAGTCCTAGTGCTCTAGACAGGAGCAAGGAAGAAAGCCACAGCTCCTGTTTGATCAAACACATCAGCCAAGAAGCCAAGAAATGGCTTATATTGTTCATCTTGCTAACCACAAAGGGGAAGCTGCTTCCGCAGAGGGGCAAACACCCATTTGTTTTGGTGACAATTGTTTTCCATACTGGTTCCCACCCTGCCTTTCACTCCTCCATTTGGGAGGAGGATGAATGTGCCCTTCTGAGTGACAGAAACCAACAGTGAACCCAGACATGCAGCCAAGTAGGGGCTAACGCAGAACCTCAAACTTGGATTGCTTGCAAAGCATTACACCGAAGGGTGAACAAAAGGAAAACAACCGAGCAGCAGAGCCTTGTGCACAACACTCCAAAAATATATAAGCAGAGAGCAATCCACCTAGCGCTAGTAAGCCTTCAGTGTTAAAGCAGGATGCCCTGTTTTGGATTCCAGTCTTCAAGATAGGAACCGATAGGGGAGAGTCTACAAAGCAGTGAGTTGGATCAGAAGACAAGGAAACAAGATCTGCAAGGAAACACTGAAGAACTGGAAATTAAAGGCACACAACCGGTGATAGAGAACAGATCAAGGGAAAAATGACAGCTCAGATACATCCAGGTACATCAGAAATAGCTGGACATGACAAAGTAGAAAGCAACACTTACTGCAAAGGCTGTCAGTTAAACCTTAAGAAAACATCAAGCAACAAGAATATAAAGCACTGGAATGAGCTGCTTAAGAAATGCAGTGGCATTCTCAGCAATTAAAGAGATTAGACGAGCATCTGTCAAGAATATTGTAAATGATCTTCCCCCAAAGACAGACCAAAGGATTAACTCTAGGTCCTTCTTCATCCTTTGTTGTTGTTGCTCTGTGTTCTTCCAGGAACGAAGAAAGCCCAGGCAGAACCACAAAAGTAAAAGTAAATAACTGCTCTAGTGCAACTCCTTCCTACAGTAAAAGCATGACTGGATAGAGATCTCAGGACACTACACTTCTGACATCCCTCTGTAGCTGTAAGCACAACATAAACTTGGATTTAGAGTTACGTGGCTAGGGATTCCAGCAATGAACAACAACAACAAAAACAGTAAAAATATTAAGGATAACTAGATATGAACACAGTTTAATAGTCTCCCCAAGACCAGTTCTTTCATCAGATAAAACCACAAAAGTAAAAAATAAAAATCTTTATAGAATATATTCTCACATTAGAACATGCCCATTAAAGGGTGAAGTCACCTGTGTGATAAACACTTTGCAATTTCACAAAAACAAATCAAGGCTTCTAAAGGAAAATAATTGCAAGATGAAACAATAGCATATGTCTACTTGCAAGCTAGTTGCTAGAAGGCTCCAAAATCACCATTAAACTATTAACCAATTCAACATTTTGGGCAGTGGTCTTCAAGGAAAAACATACTGCAAGGCTAAATCTGTGTTGGCAATACAGGAAAATTCTTGTAAGACGGAGTAAGGCAGAAAGGTTGTAAGGAACAGAATATGGAGAGTGCAGAGGCATCTCCGTCTTTTTGCCATCACAAATAATCAGGATATTTATAATTAAGAGAAAAAAAAAATAGCATCGGAGTCACTGGGTTCCACTAGCGAGAGCCCTGCTGGCCACGACACCCATACAACAAAGTCACCAAACTGCTCCCCAGGAGACTGACGTCTTGCCTGGGTGTAAGATGCATCACAGCAAAATTAAGAAGTTCTATACGTGGACACTTCTGCTCACCTCTGAAGGGCATTTTGAAGCACTAACAATTTTGACCTTGGCAAGGGTAAAAGTAGCTTACGTTGTTCTTTTCCTTCTCATTCCACTATAATGTTATAAGCTGCCCAAGCACTAAAATCTCCTGCTCATTTTTACTAATTTTCCCGTGCTGGTGTCAATTTAAGTTGCTCTGGAAGATTTCAGCCAAAACAAATGTTCTTTCCTAAACAAAGTTAGGAAAAACATTTGTTCATTATTTGAGTTCTCGGTAACTTTTCATGCTTTGGAAGAAATGTGAACACAGCACAAAAGATACCCAACTGGCAAGATCTGCCTTTTAGCAACCTTATGACAGCAGACAAAGAACTCAAAGCCTGGTTTGCAAACCCTGGAAGTTATGCTTAAGATGGTCTGGTGTTCAGGGAACGGCCTGTGTTTACACGGTAGCAGACTGATGTCTGTCAAAATCCTGTCCATGACAGAGCTGGAAGGATATGGTGCAGGTTACTCTCAATGAGACATATGCAATCTGTTCCTTATGTGAGATCTGCTGAGAGCAGATCTACTACAAAGAATATGTCTTATGGTCTCTACTAAGCTACCAGTTACTGTTTTGCAGGTGCTTATACACTGGTTACTACAGATTTTCTATTTTTTTTTTAATTTTTTTTTTAAAGTACCAACTTGCAGCTATCCCACTACAGCCACAGAAAGGTCAGTTACAGGTTTTTACTCTGAAGCATGAAAACTCAGCAGCATTTTCCCACTGAAATACTTAAGGAGAAAAAAAAAGCATACTTAACCATGGCCACAAAATTTCCTTTATCTCATATTCATGAATTAATTTGATTTTTTTGTTGTTGGAATATAACAAAAACATTCAGTTTGCAGCTAAAAGCCTAATACAGGAATTTCCAGTCTGAATGGTTCATTTGTCAGAGGCATATATTGCTGGAAACGAGATCTGAAGAACTGCCTAACAATACCCATCCCAACCACAGGCATGCTCATCTGAGCCATCTACAACAATGCAATAACCAAAGTTCCCCTTTAGGATTAAAAACAACAACAACAAGAACTAACCACCAGCAGCTGAGTCCCTAACTGCCTGAACCTACATCTACGAAAAACATAAACACGGTCATTCTTTGTGTCTACACGTTTTGGTCTTTGTTGCTGCAAAAAAAATAAAATAATAATAAAGGGAAGGTTAGCAAAAGAAAGATGATGTTCAGATCATTTCTAACCTTCGACCGGTATCTTTTTCCCCTTCTTCACCACAACTTTTTGTCTTCTCAACGTAAGCCTCCATTTCAGGGAACTCTGCCAGTAACTTCAGCCACGGGAGCTTGTAGGAAGGACAGAATGGTTCTTAAACTAACCTGAGACACATTCTTCTTTCGAGTCACCTCTGAAAGAGCCTAACATGTAAGAAATATTAGCAATAGCTTAAACAGGGATTAAAAAGGATAACTTTTTTTTTTTTAAACACAGCTGGAGCTGTAGTTACTGCGCACAGTACTTCCTTTACTAGCAGCCACAGGCATGCAATGGGAACAATTTAGTCTGTTTATCCCTGTCACTCTATTTGGTGCAAAAGGAGCTCACAGTACAATTATTTCTTCTGGCTAGCCCCAAGTCAACATTTTTGTATATTCCCATGGTCTTCAATCACACATTTGTTCAACTGTATATCCCATAAGCTTCTCCCCGTGTCCTGCTCAGCCCTGCCAGTAGCAGGGAACCTGCACACGCATTCCAATTTCCAACAACCTAAGTAAAAGCAGTCGTGCTTTGTGACAGCAATGGCACTACTGGCATTCACTGGCCCTGTAGCTGCAGAGATCGGAACCCGGTAACTACAAATCAGTTCCAATTGTCCCCCGAACTGAATGCTTTTTGTGATTACCCTCACAGAAAGTCATTATCTTTTGCCACAAGCTTGAATACAAACACGACTTACAAAGGAGCAACACGTTGCCTTCAGGACAAAGGCAGATACAATAGTTAAACTCTAGATGTGGGTGTTATCAAAGCATGACTTTAGGTCAAGGAAGTTGTTTGAGGGAGATGCAACAAAGGAGCTGACTGCCAAAAAAATTTACGAGCAAGTCAGATCTGAAAGGGTTATTCTTGGCTGCTTATTTCACAATAAAATCAGCTACATCAGTGGCATAACCTAGCAGTGCTTCAGAATTTACTACAGAAGATACAGGTGACACATGCTGGCACCGCACCGGCAGAGACAGCGAGTTCTGCACAAAGGCTATGGACAATGGTGAGCAACAACATTCCTGCAACAGGTCCCGTGATCCTCACGGGTGAGGTCCTGGTAGAAGTCTCTGGGAAAATATTCAGAAGGATTTGAGTAGTTTTACTCCAAGTTTTAGCAGTTTCATAACAATTTGTTTGCCTGGAGAAAAAGTGTCTAGGAAGTAAGGGCAGCTACAACGGCCAGCCACCTGTTTTAGGCGTGACTTTTTGCTTCCCTTGGTTCTTATTTCTCTCACTAATATACTTTTATTTTCCCTCTAAACTTTCTACCTGGACACTGACACACAAGCAGTAACAAGAAATCATAAAAGTAAGGCGTACCAAGGAGAAAAGTTTGTTTTACCAGCTTTAATGGCTACAACATTAACAAACATTTCAACCCCGAGATAAGAGGTTCACAATTCAACAGCCACCTCGGGCGCTAAGGTTTGCGCACAAGAACCACCCACGAGTGCTTTCATTCCACAATGCCGGCGCTCTGCAGTTAAACACAGCAACAGAAACGTGTAAAATCTTTCCTTTGCAAACACAGCTTGTTCTGGTTTCTTTGAGGAAGAAAAATAAGTATTACAGTATGATCTTGAAGCACACATGTTAAAAAAAAAAAAAAGAGCCAGAAGCAGGGCATTTTGTTTCCATTCCTTTTCTGACAGCGCCGGTAACATAGGTTACACCTGAAATTTGACTAACTGTTGCCTGCGTTCTCCCACTCAATGCAACAGAGAGCAAGTCTTCAAGTCACCGGGCAGGCTGCGGGAACAGAGACCCTCCTTCCATCCCACTCAGGCAGTTCTGCTCGTTCCACTTCAACACTGGGACACTCGATGGGACCTGCCTGCACGTCCTCACGTCCAACCTACCATCCTTTTGTCTGCCAAACGGGCAGCACTGCCATCATTCAGACTGGCCATGTCAAGTGAAATACAGTATTCAACATCTCTTCCTCTTGAGGTTCTCAATGCACCCAGCATCTTGCACAAAAGGGTAACAATTAGTAGCCAAAAATTGTCTCAAAATGTGTTTTAGGTAAAGAAAATTTCAGCTCCGTGTTAACCGCTTTGACAGAAAACACTGGTCCAAACAGAGCTTACAGCAACAATACTTATTAAAAATATTTTTAGAAGACTGTCCACAACTGGGAAAGGCAGGAGATGTAAGCAAACCTACAGAAATTACACCATTTCTTCTGGCCCTTTTTAGAAGGATGAGGAAGGACACATCAGCGAATTTGACTTCCATAAATGCAAGTAGAACGATCAGCTAGAGCTAAAATAGAACGAGCCTCAACGAGATAAAGAAAGACACCTGGAACTGTGGAATAGAAAGGAGACAAAGAAAAACAAACCGTGATCTGTACCTAAAAGGATAGAGGATCAGAAACGTCAGTCTTTCAGAGAGAGAAGTCCTTCAGAATACTTGGTAGATGTCCTTACCATTTTGATCTTCACTCACACTTTCATTCTCCGAGCATTATATACAGCAAAACACATCTCAAAGACAGCTGAGAAGCAGTTTGGAAGCAGTCAAAAGCAGGCAGACTTCAGCACCATCAGTGAGGAGGTTCTGACAGCAACTTGCACGCCCTGTACTGTATTGTTTTGTTGTATGTTATTTTACAGTATCACCACAACTGTGAATTTGACCTTGTGATCCTACAGAAACAGGCCTACACCAATGCATTCTGTACGCGTACCCTGTGCTCTCTGTTCTCTCCTCTAATTCCCACTATCCCTAATTTTCAACCTCTGGACCAATTCCTGCTACATTCAGCAAGATTACGTGATCAGACACCAAAGAAGCCATGTAATGGAGACTCTAAACAAAACAGCCTTCAAAAATTCTGCTGCTTGACGCGGTGCTTACTCTTGGGCAGTTTATAATTGTGCCTCTTCTCCCACCCAACACTCTGTGAGGCCACAGTCCAGAGAGCCACAGACCAGCTAGTAGAAGCTATTCTAGAGATTAAACCAGTAGACAGCAAAATAAGTGACAGTATTTATAAACGGCAGTTGTATTTTCCACTCTTAAGCACTAACGCATTGGTATCTTCCTGCTCCTATGGGATTCTAACCCTCAAAAGGGGAGGGAGAGCGGTTCTCAGCTTGTCATTTGATTTTTCTGTTCCAAAAAACAGTACCACATGCTGTCCTCTGCTATTAAAGAAGCATGCGTCCAAGAGGAATTGTTTTGATTTTTTTCATCGTAGCAAACATTTGGAATTTAGAAACGCTTGTGACGCACAGGTCTGTTCCCGTGCACCTCTACAAGGAAATATTTTTCCTACAAGCCGAACAATCTGTCAATGTTGTTTTCACTCAGCTAACCTGCCAATATAATACAAGTCTGCTCTGTGGAAAGTTACAGAATATAGGCTCATTTGATTTATTTATAGAATAAATGGCACTTATTCTGGTGAACTCCTGCACAGCAAGGAACACATGCTGGCTGCATGTTGCCTCACGCTGCTTTCTAGTAAAACATTACTTTTGGGAACCACCCGAAACAGCTCGCCTTTCAGCTGAGGGAGGCGAGGCCTCACAATTCAACCTCTTGCTCTTAATTCACGCCTTTTTATGTGTTTTAAAACAGATTACAAATCCATCCCAAGCAGGAGCATCGTAGCCATGGAACAAGCCCTTGACATGCAGCTTGGGGCTGGGCAGCACTCTGGATCTGCACATGTACAAGCTGGGGGCCTGAATGCTTGAGGGGGAAAATGTTGTATGTGGACCATCTGTACCAGGTACGGCATCACCCATACTTGCAAGGTGGATGTTTTCTTCCAAAATAAAGTGGTTCTGACATTTGTGTAAATGAAAGTGGAATTACCAAATTCACCAAGTTTAGATTGGACTTACATTTCAGAATAGGGCACACAATATCGTTTGGGATCAATAAAGATAACCTGACAAATCTATCGTGTGAGTCATCCTGCTATTTCAAGTATACAGTTATTATTAAAAGCATTTTACAAACTTTCCTCCAGAGATGTAAATGAAAAAAGCTTGTAAAATTATTAAAACCAGGAGTGCAGTTCCTTTAATATTAGCAGAAGGACCTGAATCCCTCGGTGTTCTCCCACAGACGGTACACACAGATTGTCAAGCGGTGAAACCATTACCTGTACTCAGATATTCAACAGAACTTGTCAGATCATAGGAAATGGCTACAAAGTCAGAGCTAAGGCAGAAGACAATGGATAGAATTTTCCCTTTGCAACTCCTCCTTGGTTCCTTCAACCAGCTGGAGGTGGTGCTTACCTTAAAATTAAAAAAAAAAAAATCTTCCCAAAAATCACACTTGCTTTTGGAAGCATATTTTCACACTGAAAGTTGCAACATGGGGTTATAATAATGTTCTCTCAAGTTCTTATTTTCTAGAGGAACAAAGAAAGGTCTTCGCTTTCTGATCACATATTCAACACCCAAACCTACAAAGTGAGATCAGTTTGGAAATGCAAAACACTAAAGAATAAAGAAGAACAAAGCGCATCTCTAGATGCCCTGAACAGAAACAACACAAGAATTATCTGCTGGTGAACTCAAACTTTCTAAGATTTCTCCTTCCCTTCTACGAAAGAGAACTAAATCTACACCTTCTATTTTTAGCCACCAAGAGAACACAGCTGCACTGCAAATGAGGCGGAGATGGGAACTTGCAATAGGGGAGCGTGAGAGCTCCGCATGATAAACAAGTGACGAGAGGAAAAACCCCAGAAGTCAAAAAATAGAATAAATCACCAAGTATCTTACAAATTTTGGTTGCCATTTCCAATCCGGGTGGTAGTATGTCAGATTTAGATGAGGTGCATCCTTATCTCAGTGCCCAGCTCCAGCATCGCCTTTCAGTTTTGGCTTCAAGCACCAGAAGGCAGAGCCTTACCCAAACACTCGGGGAGCGTCCAGGTGCAGAGCTGGGCAAACCAAATCTCTGATGCCAGCCACCCATTCAGGAATAGCACCGCATCAAAACTCACTCTGCTGTCCCTGCACAGCTTATGCAGACAAGAAGCCAAGTTTGTTGGTTGGGGTATGCCTTGTTTACAGAGCTAGTGCTTTCAAATTTTTGGCAGCACGTTGGAATCTTTTTTGCATTTTGCTAGAAAACAATTTACAAATGCTATGCTAAGGACATGTTCTTATCCCAGTAACAGGACTTTTCTTAGTAAGTCATCACAATTAAGCGTTTCTCTCCCACCACATCTTTACACTCCCACAGGCTCACTTGCCTACTAAAATTATATTTAAAATGCCAATGTTGAGCCACCTCATATCACAGCAAGTCCTTGCAACAAAGGGAAACAGCAAGAAAGCAAGCTCAAGGTACATGTTCTTCTTTACGCAAGCATTCTTTCAAATCAAGAATATTCACCCACCAAGTTCCTAAACATCCTGAGTAACTCATTCCACCAATGCATCCAAATACATAACACTCACGAGCCTTCTTGGCTATCACAAGGTGCGCAGCAGTTTCAGTAGACGTTACATAAAACTTGGTGCAATATGAATGGCAGGCTACAGAGATAGCAGCTTATCTCCTAAAACCTCGGAGACCTCAGCTGTAAAGCTCTGAGATGAGGATCCCAGCTGCTCTCAGAACTTCCATCCACAGTATATTGCGTGGGGAAGTTTGGCCATAAACGCAGCCTCAGTGAACTTCAGCACATTTGTAAAAGGTGAGGAACCACGGGACACCGTGCGCTGCCAGCTGCCACGTGCTCCGGTCCTTAAGCTCAGCGGTTTCAGCAGAGGTGCTCTGAACCTCCACAGCTGGCCCTAACTGTCCATTCAGCTTCAGGAAAGTACCATTTTTCACTGCTCCCTCCTACCGCTGTAAATCCATCAGCATGTCCATTGGCGGTGGAGACCAAGAATTTCACCAGAGCACCCTGCATTGAGCAACCAGTAACAATTCAGTCCTATCAGCCTAATCGCAGCCCCGGAGTCAGCCTCTCCGCCCTGCTCCCCAGCAAATCCTGCTGCGCCACCACACCGCCCCTCGGGCTGGCTGGCCATTTCAAGAGAAACTCGCACCCACCACAAGAACTTTCTTGGGCTATCCACCAAAGGCGATCATGGGAGAGCCAAAGAGAAAGGATAAACCAGCCTCCAGCTCCTCAGAAGAACTTCTTCTCAGGGCACCTTTAAGTGGAAAACATGCATGTAGGCTCTTGTCCAGTGATTTCTTCAAATTGCTTGATGGATTATAGTGTTGAAATACTCACTCAATGACCTCGTTATCTACAGATGAGCAAAAGCTCACTACGCAAGGCAAAAACTCCTTTGGATCTGGAAAATCTGGACTAATCCTTCATCCACACCACCCCTATCTCTGGTGTAATAACACGGGGAAGTTGGGCAAGCCTTAAGATGCCTGAACCCAGCCGTTAATGTCATCCACCGTACCAAACACATGAGACAAGGCAGGCACAGTTGCCTTCGTTCTGTGACCTGGAGAAGGCTTTTTGTCCCTCAACAACTTCTTACAGGCGACGACCAGATTAACTCTACGGAACCAGAAGTACCACGAAATTGTGCGGAACACATCATCGATACTCATCAAGCGGCTCGATTGAGTTTAATTAAGCTCACGCTGCTAGCAGAAACTAAGTTGTTCTGACACCAACGCCGGCAGCCACGTCCCGTTGCTGTGCTCCACGGCCACGGCTCCCCGCTCCCGGGGCCGCAGCTCTCCCCAAAGGCCCCCACGCAGCTCCGGGCGAGGCGGGGGCCAGCTGGGGAGCCCCCCAGCCCCTCGGGACCTCCCCGTCCCCCACACAGCCCCCGGCGGGGCTCTGACCCCGGGCACATCTCCCAGTCCCAGCATCACCCCGGGGCCACCGCTCCGTGACACCGCAGCAGGGGGCTGGGGGGGGCTCCCTCGTGTCCCCAGGGGGCCTCGTGTCCCCAAGGGCCCTCCCGGGGCCTCCCGCCCCCACAGGCCGGGCACGGCCCCAAGCCGCCCCCGGTCCCCCCCGCCGCCCCTGGCCGCCAGCCAGGCGCCGTCCCGCCGGCCTCCCGCGGGCCGTGCCGGGCCGAACCGGGCCGGCTGCGGGCTGCCGGCGGCTCCGTCGAGTTTCCCCGCCCGCGGCCCCGGCAGCGCCACCCGCGCTCCGCCCGAGCATCCCCGCAGCCCCGGGGCGCGGCGCCCAGGCCCGGGCGGTGGCGGCGGGGAGAGGGGGGGGGGGGGGAGGCGTAACGGGAGGGAGGGGGGGGGGGGAAGGCCGCCGAGCCCGGCCCCGCGCCCCCGGCGGCCCCGGCGGGGACAATGAGATGGCGGCGAAGAGCGCCGCGCCCGGGGGACCCGCCGCTCCGGCAGGAGCCGCCCCGCCCCGCGCCGCCTCCCTCCCCTCCCCTCCCCTTCGCCTCTCTCCTCGCACGGGCAGCGCCCGCTCCCGGCCCGGCCGCCGCGGAGACCGAGCGAGCGAGCGAGCGGCCCCGGCCCGCTGCCCCCGCCCCTCGCGCCTCCATCTTGGATCGGCGCCGCGGACGCCCGCCCGCCCCGCGCCCCGCTCACCTCGGCCCGCGGCCGCGCCGCGCTCGGGCGGCGCCCCCGGGAGCCCCGCGGAGCGCCGGAGCCGGCCGGGGCCGGGCGGGTGCGGGCCGGGGCCGGGGCGGCGGCGGCGGCGGCGCCGGCGGGGGCCGCGCTCAGCGGAGCCGCAATCCTAAACCGCCATCTGGCGGCATTTCCGACCGCCAATGGCGCAGCCGCCGCCGAGCCCGGAGCCCCGGCGCCCCCTGGCGCCCGCCCGCCGCCGCCGCTGCCCCCCGCGCTTCCCCCCCCCTCCATCCACTGCCTCCCGCCCGCCGGGGGGGGCGCGGCCGGGGCGGGCACGCGGCGCCGCAAACGTCTTTCGCGCGCAAACGCCGCGCGTGCGCCGCGCGTGCGGGCGGGAGGGAGGGAGAGGAGGGAAGGGGGGGGGGGGGGGGGGGAGGAGGCGTCGCCATGGCGACGGCGGTGGGCGGGACCTGAGGGGGGGCGGTGCGGGGCGGGGGCCCCCTGACAGCCGGGGCTCCCTCACCGAGCCCCGCGTTGGGCGCTGCGGGCTCTGTCCGCGCCCCGTGCGCGGTGCTCGCCGCCGTGCATAAGCACCACAGGCTCCCCGCAGTGCCCCTGTCACACACAGCCCGCTCGCCACTCCGTCCCGCTGCACACAACCGCGCTCCCTCACCCGCCTGGCGCCGCCGGGCCGCGGCCGCAGCCGTGCGGGTGCTGTGCCCCCGTCACGCCGCTCGGCGGTGCCGCAGGCATGGCCCCGGCCCTGCCTCACGGCGCCTCGGCCTCCCGCTGTCCCTGAGGGCGCCCGGCAGGGCCGTCGGGAGGCGGCAGCGGGCTGAGGGCGGCTCGGGGCCACGGGGCCGGGCGGTGCCGCTGCTCCCGGGGAGGAACGGGAAGGAGCCAGCTCGGGAGGACGCCGGCGGGCGGTGGGCAGGAGGGAAGCGTTGCGGAGGAGGCGCGAGGTGAGGCAGGTAACGGAGCCGCCGGGGTGACGGGGGCGTCCTGCGGGGCGCTGACGGGGGCGGCTGCCAGCCCCTGACAGGCACCGCCTGCGGCCCGCCGACAGTCGCGACGATCGCGGTCTGAGTCTGTCAGAATTCAGTTCTGTTTTGTTTTGTTTTGTTTTTTCCCCCAGAAGCGGCAGAGGAACAACCTGCCGGGCCCACACCTCAGGGCGTGGGGAGGGCTGGCTGCTTGTTCCTGACTCCGGGGGGCACGGCAATTGCCCTGCCTGCGAGCCCTTCGTGACGGCTTTGCAGGTGGCTGGCTGAATTTGGCCAGATCCGGCAGAACTCGAGATTGTTTTGCTGCGTTTATTGGAAAATATTGGTTATGACCACCAGACAGACCTCGAAGGCTTAATTCCTTCAGGCAGGGCAAGAAGCGAGCCCAGCCTCCCAGCCCTGGGCAGGGGAGCGGCGCACGGCCGTGTGGCTCTGCAGGTGCCCACCCCTGTGCAGGGCTTTGGGGGCTGCAGCAGGTTGCCTTTTTATTTAAAGAACTCGTGGAGTGTGTTGTATTAGTGATCTGTAGTGTTTATTGAATCCCTTGTGATCAGGTGTTCACCCATGGGAAACCAGTTCGCATTTTGACAGCCGGCGATGTCCAAGAGCTGCCAATTCAAATGGGCGCCTCAAGTTGTCGTTTGAATTAAGAGTGTTTGTTTTGTTATATGACATGAGAATTTGACATAGTACTTAATTGTTGGCACTCTATTAAATTGGATTTGAAATCAAATTGTTTTTTTCAGAGAACATACAAATAAACCATCTTAAGTTTCCAGATACAAAGGGAAACAAACAAACAAACCAAAAAGCCTTCCTGTGATCTCCACAAAAGGAATCAACAGAAGGAGAAGCAGCAAGTTTTCTGCACAGGCTGTGCTACCTTCCATTTGTTTTCGTTTGTGCTGAGGATTGACAAACATGGATTTGGGTTATGCACCAAACTGAAATTCTTGATGGTTAAGAGAAGCAAGATCATCAAAGAGTACGAACAAATGTCCTGTGTGAGAGATGGCATGACGCTTGTCATATATTGACTGCTTAGTGGACAAAATTAAATTTCGATTTAAGCACTCCTGCTATTTTTTGTTACTTCTCATTTCCTGCCTTTCTCATGCCTCATCTGTTTGCCTTTCGGGTCCCCAGACCTTCCAACTGTTAGTGTTCACGGTGCTGAAGAAAATACTGGGTCTGTATAGGACAGCCATTTTGAGTTATGTGCTCATGATCTATTGTTTTCCTCCAGAGAGATCCCTGAATACATTACACAGGTCCAGTACTAAATTTGCAAATGCATGTTGTCTCTTTTCTACTCCCTTTTTCATTATTTGTTGGAAGAAAATGTAATCTAACCTCAGGAGACAAGAAAGAAAGCATGATATGCTCATGGTAAGAAATCTTTTTTTATTTTTATTTTTTTATTTTTTCCTTTTTTTTTTTTTTTCCATGAGCCAATAGTTGCAGCATGTACTCATCTGTTTCTTAATGAGATGACTGAGGTTGTACAGGCTGGATTCACTGCCGCTCTGATAATAATGCCAGTTGTGCACCATTTGTATTATTTTCCTCATGCTTTGTCCCTGATCCATACACTGTGGAGATCAAGAAGGTCTTAATTTTAAGATGTGGGGAGGAGGGCAAGGCAGAATTGTGAATTTAAAACACAATGGAAATGGTAGGTAGGAAAAGCTGTGATGTGAGGGGCACTGCCTTCCTGGCCTCATTCAGTTCATTTTGCATTTGCCTGTTAAAAGAATCTGAAATTAACAACTTGCCTTAAGGGAAAAAAAAAAAAAAAAAAAGTAGTAGATGTTAAGACTGGCTTACGTTACTGGCTTAAGTTTTTTTTTTTTGTTGTTGTTTTCTTTTTATTTCTCTCCTTGGCATTTCAGCTGTTTCTTCTCAGGTTTCTTGCCGTATATACACTGTGTGTGAATGGAAACTCTGGAGCCCTCCAGCATTTAGTCGTACAGTTTGTCAGCTGAGCTGTGCTTAAATAGGGTTGGCAGCAGAAATGTAAACAGGAGTGCTAGCAGAAGGCTTCCTGAGTAGCCAGAGGTGTTGCTTGCCCTCAGACCCCTTTAACATGTACTGACCTCTGCTTTGGCGAGGTGTTGCAAGGCCAGGAGTGTAGCCTGCCAAAGCAAGAGTAAGGTGGTGCCCCAGGATACCTCGCTTACTTGTGCAAGTCCAGCCTGGCCCTGCCGCCTGCTCCAGCACTGGGACTGGGGCCTGCCCCTCTCCAGTTCCTCGCAGTCCCTACCAGATTCACTCACTCCACCTCTAAGAAGTAGGCGACAGCTTAGCTGGGATATAGCAAGGGGTTAATAACCCTCAGTCCCTGAGGAGAGAGGAAGCCTGTCCCATTCTTATGTAAATTATTTTCCTCAGCTAGGGGCAGGCAGTGCTTTGGCTGAGGCAGATTACAGCTGGAGAAAATGCCAAGGCTGAGCCTGGCCCCGACAGAAGCGTTTCAGTGAAGAGCTCTGGCACCTGCTCTGACATTGCCTTTTGCTCTGTGGCTCCGCCCCTGAGTCTCCCTGAGGATGTGCTGCCGTGCATCCAGCCTGATTGTCCACAGCCCGATTGTTCGCTCCCTTGTGGCCCTGCACCTTCGGGGCCTGCCTTGTCTTGGTGCAGTTGCCCTGTGCACAGGGACTGCAGTGCTCTCCACACCTGTCCCCTGCAGGCACGAGAGACCAAACCGCCGTGACCAGCAGCGCTGGGCTGGACTGGTGGCTGGGTCAGGAGGATGGGTCCTCCAGGGCATCCTTGCCTCTGCAAAGGCAGTGAGGCAGGATGGTGGGCATGGGATGATCACATTTTCTTGCTATTAAACTGCAGGAGCCTCACACTCACAAACCACCATTCATTCTTTAGGTTAGTTCAGTCAGTAATTCTGAGAGATGGTTGGAGTGGCTTTAGCAAGGTCGCACAGACTGCTTGCTCTTTTCTTTCTTTTTATCTTTTCCGAAATGATGTACTGGGGTTGCCAGTTCCCCAGGAGCACAGCCTCTTAGGCATGGTAGCGTGTGTCTCAGATTTTCAACTTTGAACAACAATCAAAACATTTTGTGCCTACCTTGAGTATTACTTGCTGTGCTAAGGTCATTGTAACCCGTTCTGTTTGGTATCAGAGCATCTGCTGTTTCTGTTTAGACATCCGGACAAAGATGTAGATGACAGAAAGGTGTTTTCCCCTTCGGGCTTGGAATTGAACCTCTCAAGAGCAGGTAATTATATTTATTTGCTGGGACACAGTGGTGTTCGTAGAAGGCAGATTACATTTTCCTTGCTGCCGCTTCATTTGGAAGGGCTGGTGGTGGAGGGCACCATGCACAACCAAGTAATCTTGGTGGCATCCCTGTGCCTGTGATAAACCAATGCCGTGCTGTCATCCTGGGCCTGGGGACAATGACAGCACGCTTGGGGGAGAGCTGCAGG